CCCCAAAACCCCAAAACCCCAAAACCCCTGATTCCTTCAAGAGGGTTGAAGAATTAACAGTAAAAATGGAGCATGGGTTTGGATAACCACATTTCCTGTTTAAGAGCCTTCCTTTGGGTTTTAGGTAAAGAAAAATTAGACAAAGTTGGGGAATTAATAATTTAGTGATGAACTTGTGTAGATTGTTGTTTGAGGTAGTTATCTACAGTCTCAAGCATCTCTTGGGGAGTATAATCAAAGTTAAGAGCAGCATTCTGTCCTTGCATCGCAACTGCATGGAGGTCGTAGATCTTGGCAGCTTGGATTTCGTTCACGAAAGTACCAATGTACTTCTTTACTCGCTTTACATTGATGAGAGCTTGCCAGTGAGTGCTGCTCTTGGACACTCCAATGTACTGCGACCGCTTGTATAAATTGGCTTCAGCAGGAGACCTCATTTGCTTCATTGTGCGATTGAAAGAGGATACACGATTGGTTAGAATCTTGTCACGAAGTTTGATGAGTTTTGATGTGATGTTTAGCCTCTTTGCACGTCTTCTTCTATTCCTAATTTGTAGAGCTTCTGGTAGAGCATCACTATTTTCATCACTTTGTTCAGTCAATGCTTGGCTATTTTGATGATCCATTAGAGTTTCGATTTTTTGTTTCTTCCGTTGCATATGTTGTTGAACAGAAGTCATTAAGCTTCTTTGTATTGACCTCTCAAGGCTAAAGAATAAATAAAAGCTTCCAGTAAACTTGAGCATCGTTAATCGATGCTTAAAGTCTTAAATACTTACATTTGGTGGTAGCCTCTTTCCTGAGATTCCGAAGTCGATGGAATTTGTAACCCATGCAAATTGCAAACACGCTCACTGTTTAAATCTCAATCATGACCAAATGGGCAGCAGTTCTTGGTCTGTTCTAGCTCTCTGAGCACACTTTCATAGTCCCACATTGGGTGAAGTATCAAAGTTCCATAAGCAAATGGGTTTTCAAAGTCCATGTTTAATAAATAAATTATTATTAAATCTTTATTTCTGATTTATGTATTTGCAGGGTCCTAGCCAAAGACTCAAGTTTCTCCGAAAGCCCAGAAGGTGAAATAAAAATCAAATTCAAGAATAGTATTTATTATTTCAAATATTTTACTTTTCCTACACTTCTGGATCCATCTTAAAGCTTTCTTTTTGGTTCTAAAGCTAGTGCCTATCTGGAAGATTCGTTAATAATGAATTTAAGCTTTAGTCCTTAAGATTTTTATAATTTCGATACCAAAATGAGCTAAATATACCTCAATAGTAAATATTATTTCAATACTTCTTCTTTATTATTTAATTGAGAGCCTGCCTCAAGTAGGGGTTTTGATTAGTTTTCCAATGGCTTCATTATGTAAAAGAATTATCGGCTATTTTTGGGACAAACGAGCCTTGTTGAAATAAACATCAAAGAGGTCCTAAAGAATCAAAGATTTCAGTATACGAGGACTTATTATTCAGGCTTTATTAAAACTTTAAATTTTGAAACAAATGAATCCATAGCAAATTAAAAATATTTGGGTTATGGAGAAGAAGGTTATTGACCCTCATGAATTTTCCTTCAATTGATAGACCAGCAATAAGCTCGAAACTAAGTATAAATACTATATGTGTCCTTCTCAATAATTTTAATAGACTCTTACTCCATATTGTCTACTAAGCTTGCATACATTCCTACCAAGAAAACTACAGTAAATTCAAACATGGTGAATATGCAAGAAGAGGATAAGTATATTTTTAACAATAATTCTAAGATTATTACTCTTAGGAGAAGAATAAGAAATGATTATGAAATTTCTAAGCCCTATCGAGGTTTTAAGACTGTTTCCAACTTTCTCAGCCATAAATTCTTAAAATCCCAAGTGAATAATAGAAGCATATAATTAGAGGTTTTATCGAATTTATCCAAAAATCATGAAAGAACATTCAGGAAAAAGTTTGCATCACTCCTAATTACGGGCCAGAGACTTACTTTAGGATTAAGGAGATGAGGCTAAGACTAAGAAAATCTCCTCTAAGTCTATTGAGGATATAATTAAGATAAGGGTCTCATATGGTACATAGCTTTTTATCATTTTTGGATATATGAAACAACAAATTGAAGAAAAGTTCATTAGCCATAAAATTTGATATGAATCAAATTACAAGATAGAAGAATTAGTATTAATAATTGTAGTGAAGCTGACTGCCTATTCGTTCTAACATTAAAATCCACTAATTCTGAATGAGTTTACTTCACAGTTACTTAAATGAAAGAATTCTGAAATTATGCCTGCTAGGATTAAAAGAGCTCACAAGATAAAAATCACCGTTGCATTTAAGAGCATGTTTATCAAATACCTTCTGGAAATTAAAATACACAAACTACTATTCAATTGTTCTAAAACAGGAAAATTCGTAGAAAACACAGTAAACCTAGTCAAGATCCTTCATAAAACAAATATTTAAGCTATTCTGGTATTCAGAAAGTATTCTAAAGCCTACTTTCCGATTTTAATAACTCCTAAAAGTTATTATTTTCTATTCCATCTTGAGTTAAGCAGGTTTGATATGAAATTTTAATAGATTAAATAAAAATACATTAAGAGGGGTTTTGGGGTTTTGGGGTTTTGGGGG